CCCCCCCCCCCCCCCCCCCCCCCCCGCCGAATTTCATGTCCGGGTGCCGCCTTTCTTTGATAGATACTGCACAGCAGGCACACGTCGGCCGTGAGGAGCGCGTGCTGCCCGTCCATCTCTCCCACCGTCGTGACCGGGGGGGCGGACGGCCGGCTGGTGAGCTACAGCATAGAGACGGCCTCGGTGCAGTGGGAAGAGCTGCTCCGCGTCAGCAAGACGTACCACCCCATGGTGAGCGCCGTCGTCATCGTCGTCGTTGTTGTGTTGGCTGCCGCGTATGCACGCAAACCACGATATATTCCGCTCTCCCGCACCGTCATACATAACCGTACCGAAATACAAGGCGTCCCTCCGGAGTGGGGTAAAGAGAGCACCGCGGCAGGGGGTGATGCAAGAACATGCAAGAAGCAAACGCATGCATATGCACATACGGAGTATAGATTATAGAAGTAAACGCGCACTTGCCTATTGTTCGGTTCCTTCCACACTCCGCATTTAATTGCCGTTTTTCTGATGCTGCGTCTCCCACCGCCGCGGATTCCAGGCCGCCAAACGACTTGAAATTCATCGAATCCGTATTGTCGCCCAGGAAACGCACACACACACACCCTCCTCGCCACAGGCGGGCAGAGAAAGAAGCGTTGTATTCGCGCGTTTAGCATGCAAACAGTATGTTGCAGGGCCGTGACCGTAGCATCATGATCGATCATGGTGTGTGTCGCACATTCCGGAGAGAGGAAGAGGCCACATGGATGTGGATGGGTTTTTATTCTTTTAGAAGGTGGGGCGGATGGAATGAATCCACAGACAGGAGCGCGCGCGCGCGCGTGTGCGTGTGTGTGTGTGTGTGTTTTTTTTTCTTTCAAACGTTCAAAGAAAGATGGATACACGGAAGTAAGCAGACACAGCCAAACTATCACGCAGTACATACATACATAACACGCACGTACGTACTGTGCACCCACCACGACGGGGGGAAACAAGTTCAAATAGACGAACTGACGTCCGCAGCGACCTGGGTGCAGAACTATTTTGTGATCACTAATTGTTCTACGTTCATACAACGTCGTTTATGTTCGGTCCACTAACCTCGCACCATCAATCAGCCGCGCTTCGAACCACAACGGCGTCCCACCTCTTAGATTGCTGTAGCCTACCCGCTTTACTAAGCGCTTCAGATGTTTCTCGCGGGCGGGCGTGTTTTGTTGTGTTCCTCAAGCGTGCGCAGCCACGGAGTACAGACGTGTGCGTTTTCGAAACCGCTGTAATACGGATACCTGTGACCAAGCAAGGTGTTCTTCGCTGTTCTATCTGCTACGTCTGTGCTAAAAAGAAAGGAATTAATGTTACCGCTGCTTCAAAGAACATGAAAGACTCTCCAAGTCGAACATCCGCCAGGAAACAGAAGGGAAAAGAACACCCGAACAGCCTCCACTGCTAACGACGAGCCAACACAAATGTATAGTAACTGTTCATGTGTACCGTAGTTACTGCGTTTGTTGCCTTCTGCTTGTGCAGGTTGTTTTCTTTCTTGTTTTCCTTCTTCGGCTCTACACTTGAAACTCGGGTTCCGTATTGTTCGTTTCCAAAATGTTTTTTTAAGCCTAGTTGGCGACGTCGTTTTTTCTGCCGTTATTTAATCGCCAATACTCCCCGCCGCCCGTCCTTAGTTATCTCGCTCTCCTGCCCCCCTCCTTGTCGTTGTCGCTTTCCTTCGCTGTATTTACCTTGGCGCCCACTATCCTACCGTGTTAATTGTGTTTGTGTCTTGTTTTGTCCTCGCTTTTTAGGTGAACGAGCTTTTGGAGTTCCCGGATAACCCGCACTCCCTTCTGGTCAGCACGGTGGACACCGCTAAGAGCCACTCTCTGTTCACGTGAGTTCGGAAGTTGGTCCACGATGCGATACCACTGTCATACTATCACACGTGACTCGCTCGCGTGTTGAGCGGGGGCAAGTTCAGGCCGCCGCCCGCGGCTAGCCAGCGGTGTGCACAAGAAGCCACTACTGTTGGTGGACACCAACGTGGCATTTTTTCGCCGGCGTTGTCGTTTAGGCGGTTTCGTATTTTATTGTTCGCGCGCTCGTTGGGAACGGAAATGGTCCTCAATCCCCGCCCGTCTCCACGGAGACACCACGGGAGCACGGGACGGTTAGGACATCGCACACGGCACGACCCATTTCGTTGTTCTTTGTCTCGTCTTGAATTTGCGCGGACTCTCACCATCCGCGCTGTTTTTTTTTTTTTTGCTCCACCGTGCTACATATAATAGCGCTAACGTTCTCCCCCGTTGAAAGAACGCGCGGTGCGTGGACGGTACGCGCTGAAATATTCTAGCACGGGCAGGGGTAGGCGCGATGAAGAGCCTTTGAACCGATCACGGATGAATAGTAATAGCAGCGCGCGCATGGTCGAAAATGGGCAAGGGAACCGTCAACCCAGTACCCGCCCGGATCCCCTCCTCTCCCGCCGACCATTGATGCCCCCAACCGGACGCCGGTGGCTCTTCTGGCAGCATGGACACGCGGCAGCCTACGTCTCTGATCCACACCGCCCGCCGGATGGAGTGGAAGAGGAAGGACGAGAAGAAATCCTTCAGCAGCCTGGTGTACCCCTCCATCTCTCCGTGCGGGCGGTACGTGGCCTGCGCTGGGGACTGGAACGGGTGTTTCCACATCTGGGACGTGAGGTCTGCGCGGTCCGAGCCGATGCAGGTCTGTTTTTTTTTTCTTCATTTTTTTTCCCTCGCCGTATTCGTTTTCTCTATGCAGTTCGTGGATGTTGGTCGAAATAGTACCCCCCCGTTTTTTTTTTTCGAACGCATGCCGCGAAACGCCATTCATATTTTTCGGCTTGAACTTCAGTGCACACGAACGTCGAATCGTGTGCCATCCGATGGTGTACAGCCTGAATGGAATACACCAGCATTTCCCCAATGAGACCGTTCGCGTCGATCTCCTTTGTCCGGCGGTCATTGGTTGCGAAGTCTGGTTATTTCCAGACTTTGTTCTGGTTTTGTTTAGTTCAGAGGGTGTTACGTTGATGAGTCTTGTGCTCTCACTTTGTGTTTGGTTTTCCTCTTTGGGTAGCTGCTTTTACACCACGGAAAGCATTCACGCTTTCGGTTGGACCGATACGGATGCCAGAAGACAAACGGCAGACATCGAAACAACAACACTCACAAGCGGGACTCGAAAATGCAAAACTACGATGTGGTTGCGGCTTGCGTCACTGTAGTTACTTGGTATGCCTGCTGCCCCACTGGAAACTTGCTTCTTGTCTGACGGATTTGTATGCGAGCGGGAGAGGTCGAAAAGACCTCGCCCTGAAGATAACAACGACAAGAAATACAAATAATTACCAGGCGTCTCTGGTGCAGTCCACGAAATGATGAACGTTTAAGTTGTGACCCCGCAGTCGGAAGCGACGCGGGGACCAAGCTACCTACCTGTCCGTGTCCAAGACTCTCGCCCTCGCCAGCTTCGTACATGCACATGCGCGCGTACGTGTATTGCTCTGCAGAGAAAAGGCAGATCTACTATTTACCGGGGCTGCCTGAGATTGGTACATGTCTCCTCCGCTTGTTTTCTTTGGCAGTGCCCTTGTAAACGGGCTAAGGCTGTATCTCGCCGCTGGACGAGCGCAGTGCCACTACGCACACACGCACACCCAATCCTTGGGCGGGGTCCCATGGATCGGAAACCGTTCTTTGCTTTCTGTCGTTGTCCCGCCAAAGACACGCCCCTCCAAGCGTGGCGATTTCCGAGCTCGCAAACGTTTGGGACATGCTTCCAACTGACACGACATACCTTGATTGTTTTTCGGTTGCTCTCTATTAATCCCGCCTTAGCCCCACCTTGAATACAATGCACCCATGGCTCTCCAATCGAAAGCAAGAAATGGACCGATACAACGGGAATTTTCTTTTGGATTATATGCAAGATTCCGCGGCTTCGCTCGGCGGGTCTCCATGATCACCCCTTATTTATTTTTTTCGTCGTGTCTTACACCCTTTTCGTTGCCTCTCGCTCGCTCTGTCAGAGCGTCCTCGTGAATTCGGTGGCCAGAGTGGTGCACACGGCGTGGCACCCTGACCAGGACGCGCGCGCTCTCATGTCGCTCTCTGCCGCCAGCGGGCAAGGTGGGAAGAACTTCGCGCTTCACCTACACGGCGGCCTGCGGTCTTGACCCCGTCGGTTGACGGGATGTGGACGATTTTATTTTGGCGAAGAAAGCGGAGGACAGGAGGGTTGTTTTTGGAGCGTTAAGAGGGTGCAGGTAGCTCAGCACTTCGCTTGTGGCGGCGGGGGGCTTCGTGATCTTGGCGCGTTTGTTTAACGAAAGATACAGCATGGTTCGATGCGTTCGGGTAGCTGGGTCGGCTTTTGTGGCACCGCCGTTGTGGTGCGAACAGCGTTTGGGAATAACTTGGCGCTCTAGCCCTCACCGTAACGTGCGTGCAGCCTCGGCGAGGATGTAAACTAGAACCCGACCCGGGGGCGAGGGCGTGGTGGCTGCGGTGTGTTTTTTGGATCTTTTGGTGTGAATTGGTTGGTGCGTTTTTCAGACTGGTGTTATTCCCGGGTGTCATCATCCGGGTGTTCGTGAGAAGTCGTGATTGTTTTCTTGGTCGGAAGATGGTGAGCGGCCCTGTCTCGGGCTCTTGTCTTGTGTATATTTCACAGACGTGAGTAGAGACAACGTGTGTTGCCTTTGGGGAGAACCCCAACGAACAGTAGACAGAGGACGAGAACGCACACCGCCGGCCTGCGGTCTCATCCTTTTGGGAGAGAACAATCGATCAATGTAGATGCCGAGAACCCCACGTCCTGGACGATCGAAGTGTTTTCGAGTGTCGTCGGTGAGCGAGGTTAAATCAAGATGAGAAAACTGTTCGTGCAGCCCCCACGACAGGCCGAGGCTGCTTTGGCCCCTTCGGGAGAGCTAGGGCCAAGCCGTTTCGCCGGAGAGGGCCGAAAGCGAAGGTGTATTTTTGGGCTCGGGTCGAGTGAAGCTTGATGCATACCTCGGCGTTTTTGTGTGCACCGAATGCCAACGTTGTGCCGAAGGCATGTCCTTAGTTAAGAGGAGGAAGCTTCCTCTTGCTCTTGTGTGTTGTTGCTGTGGAGTTGGGGGTGGGTGTGACAGGGGTCGCGCGTGTGTGACACGATATCGTCGTCCTGTGAATTCAAGGCCAGAGCCGGAAGCGAGAGATACCCATCAAGCTCGAAGAATCCATAGTACGTGCACCATCAACTCCTGGATTTACCGCCAATCGGACGGAATCCTCACACAACCCTGCCACCCTACCCCAGTAGCGTTCAATGCCGTCTCATGCGAGTGCGGGATTCTTCCTCCCCTGTCCATCAGAAATGATTGGGGATGTAGCCAATACATCGAATATGTGAAACTACGGGGGCCTCCTTGTAACGGCTCCGCTCCGCGATCCGCTGCAACTGTTTTGGTGGGGTCGCCAAATAGCCGTAGTTTGTGAGATATGGCGAGTTTGTGGTTGTGGGGTACAGTGTTCTGAGGTGGTGGTTGAGGGTCTCTTACAAGATTGTAAGGCTCACAGGGCGTTCCACACCGTTTGGGTAGTCTCGTTCGCACGATTGTTTCCGCTCAAAATGTTGTGAGATCACAGTTTTCCCTTCCAAAACTGCCCAAAGTCACGACAGAAACCCTTAACCCGATAGACAGTTACCTTAAACTAGAGACAGGAACACTATGCCTTTGATCCGATCGCCTTGCCCTACCAATTACTTGCCTCCTCGACCGTAAACAGAGCCATGTAAGACGGACCCTCATGAGTGAATACTGGGGGCCGCTTGGATGTGCGGTAACGTACATACTTGGTTGCTGCATTGCTTTTCTTCTTAGGCGCTCGACGACGGCAAGCCACCAATAACCTCCCTTGTCCCAAATAACGTTGACCCACGCACTTGAATGCAGACTGTGCTCATCAGAAGACTGACATCTCACCGGCTAACGCGGTCCATGCTGATTGGACAAGACAGACATACATGACATCTTCCTCCAAAACCTAGTACTTTGCGTCAAACGGCCAGCGTAAAAGGTTTCAGCTTGCAAACTATTGAAACCAAAACTTCACCACGTGAAGTCGATCAACCAAGATAGAATCAAACTACGTGCGCGACCCGCAACGAACCAACGTTCGCCCCCACTTTTAAAAACTCTCTGTACTACCGGTACACACATGCAGGGTAAACAGACGCCGACATCAAGGAGGCGAACCGTTTACGGGAACCGAGGCTTTTGGGTAAGAATACGCGTGGCATTTGGCGGATCAAGTAGCCAAGGAAAGAAACAACACACGAAATGGAAGACAATCAAACACGTTCGTCTGTACAAAGATCGAAGAGAAAGCGACCGAGGGTTTGCCTCCCTGTAGGTGCTGCCAACAAGCAAACATCGTCTACACCTCTACAGGGAACTACAGTAGGTAGGTGCTAGTGGTCCGAAGGATACGGGTGACGAGGACACAACCCTTGTCAGATCAACTGGGAAACAAAAGACAACAAAGATAGGAAGTGAAAGACACCCACACAACGAACACATGTGCTGTACATAGATCGAACAAGGCTTGCTTCCCTGTAGGGGTTTCGAAGCGAAACGTCGTGAGCGCTTCGATTCGCATCCGCGTTGATCTACGCCTTTGGCCATCCCAACAGGCTCATCAATTTACGTCTCCTACATACAGTTGTACCGTGTTGAGATTCCTCCCTCGCCCAGACCCCCCCCCCCCCTTTCCTTTGCTAGGGTATCTAGACCAAATCATACAAAACCGTAACCACGCTGGCCGACCGCCAACACCCCGATCATTC